CGATCCCAATAGATTCAGTATGGGTGGTAGCAATTCCACTGAGATCGTGTTTTTCTTTTGTATCAATTACTAACTTGACACGTTTAGCAATATCCTCAGTTATAATTGGAAAATTAGCACAAGAATCAAGACCAGCGGCCGGAATTATCAAACATTTGATTTTACATTCTGCAGTTGCAATATCTGTGGCTGGATCCCTTCTCTGAATAAAATCAATTTCCATAGGGTCGTCCAAGGTTTCTTCCTCCCCATCTGAATCGGGTATTTCTAGAATGGGCTCTCGATAAATATTATCTTGAATGAGAGGTAACTTTTCTACGTAGGCGGGTCTTATGGAACTAAATTTAGGTTCAAAGTTCTGTAACAGATGTGGAGGTATAATTTCTTTAAGTTCACTTCGAATAATCTTACGAATGGTTTGTTCTAAAATTGTTTGCTTGCTTTGGCTTTCCTTGCGGAACTTGGATGGGGAAACCTGAAATTTTGTTTCCTCTTTTTTAACCTTGGATTGTTTGGGTTTTAATAAAGATGATTTGCCAGAATTTTTTTTATGGGTCACTTTTTTTTTAATTTAGAAAAGTGTACATCATAACTATGATCGAATTCAACTTCAGATTCTTCAGAACTTGAGCCCGACTCAGAATCACTATCAGAAGAATCATTCTCTGAGTCTGAATTATTATTTTTATTGATATGGTTAACACGGGCTTTTCGTCTACTTCTTTTCTTTTTAGAACAAGTCCGGGAGGTATGGCCCGTCCTATTACAATTGGAACATCTGCGTAGAGATTTTTTGATTTTAGCCAGATTTAATGATAATTCTGCCATATCTTTTGTAATCGCATCTATATCATTACTACTTGAAGAGTTATTCTTTTTTCCCTTGCCGGAGGTATACCTGCCACCCAAATTCAAAATCCAAATGTCAAAATCCCAAATGCCAAAATCCCAAATTCCAAATTCCAAATTATGATTAGTATTTTTTGCCGAAATCCCAAATCCCAAATGATTTGGGATTTGGGCAACACGTATAGCCGGAGGCGGTTACTTCATGGTTAGAGAGGTGATTAGAAATATCCTTTATTATATTCATAAGATTCTGAAAAAAGGAAGGATCAGAATTCATACTATTCAAGTATAAATTTGGATCGGAACGTATTTTGTTGGATTCACTCTTTTGATTCTCTAATAAAGCAACCGCTGTTTGAATTTTTCTATCTACTTCTTCGGAGGTAATTAAAGCTGAAACTGTATTTGACGGTTGCTCATTAACAGTTGAAACTTGAGGGATTTAATTAAGAATTGAGCCTCCATAGCCAAGTGACGGTTGACGCTTAAGCCATAATTCTTTAAGTGAAGTAAAGAAAACTGTGATATCACGAGGATTTGCTTTTTCCATCCGAATAAAAAGCTCACCAGGTAAATGCCCCATAAGAAATCCCAAAGCATTATCATCATTATCGAGCATCCCTAATAGGTATTTTCGAATTCTAGCTTCATATATATCTGAATTATCATCAGTCTTAAATGTTTCTTGAGATAATCTTTGAATAGCAGACTGGTGAGTACCAACTGTTCTTTGTAAATAGGTATCTCCAAGCCATACTCTGAATCGAGCTGGAGTATCAATATTATTTCCTGCATGTTGATCCAGAACTGGTAAATACTTTCCTGCCATTTTCGATTTATAGATATCTGCCTTATGCGCATCAGTAAAAGTATTGTTATTTGCATTATTGACATTAGCAATCATCGTATCAGTATAGCTGATAGCTGTTTCAATCCTATTACAATAATCATCTGGTGGTTCCTGCCCAATATATGATGGAATGTGGGCAAGACATGTTTGAATAGTTTGATAAATATGTTGTCTGCTGGCAGCCGCCATGTTTGGATTTATAGGTGGATTATTCTGTAAATGTAAAATTTGTTTTTGTAAATTCAAAATTAATTGCTCAGCATTTCGTGTTCAATTTTTCCACTTGCCCCATTTGATATTAAGTTGAGTATCACTCAAAAATAAATCATTCTGAGCTGTAGTCAGTTGTAACTGTAAATTCTGACCATAGTTATGACAAGTTATTAATCGTCTATTGTATCGCTGAATTAATAACTGGAAAGCAAATTTCTCTCTCAACACTTCTACATTGTGCCTATTTTGAGCCCAAATAGTTAGACGCCCGTAAAGGTTATACGAATTGGTAAGAGTGTACCTACGTCTGTAATGCTGTGCTCTATTATTAGCCTCTTGCCATAATGTATATCCCCTATTTATAAGAATTAGGCGTCTAACTCGTAGAGCAATAATTATTAAACCAGCTATACGCAAGTCTTCTTTTAAATTGGCATTCTCATCTTCCAAATCCAATTGATCTGACCTTCATGGGTCATATTTTCGTGGATCCCCCTAAGAATTTCTTCTTGTTGGAAGCACTCCGTTCTGTATCGATCTCTTTCATTAAGAACTGTATCATAGCGACTTTGCAACTGATTGGCCCTTTGATACCAATTTCGAGCTTTGTTACCCAATTCATCTATTCGATCCCTCTACTCATTTATAGTTATTTGAAGACGTCCCACTTCATCCTCATATTCTTGAGCCAACCCTTCTTGGAGCTGATTATTTTCACGCTCATATATGTGGCACTTGTTTTGAATTTGAGTGAGTTTCAATTCGGTCTGGGTCTGCAAATTATCAATTTCGCCATTTAACAGATCATTTTCACCTCTGACAGAATCAAATAAAATCCTAATATTATTTCTTGTTTCATTTAATAATGTAAAAACACTAGCCGATGTGCCTGGGGTGGTTAATGACATCCCTTCTTTTATTTTTTGAAGTCTATGTTGAAGCAACGAAATATCTTCACCCATTTCTTCCAATTGGAGTTCGAGGACAGATATATTTTTTTTATTAGACTGAGCATCTGCCTCTGCTTTCTGGAGTCTTATTTTGAGATCATTTACCTGTGTCCGGAGAATATCAATCTCATCATCCCTTGTAGTGATTTCTTTCTCCAGGTAAGTAATGTAATCTTCATTTTTCTGAATCTGAATACGTAATTTCTTAATGATCACAACAAGATTATCCATCGAAATGTAATAACGAAGTTAGTGTTAAAGCACATATATATACATTGATCACATCCTTCGTGAAATAACGATAAATACACCTACCTTCTATGCTCAATTTTACCTAGACTTTATTGCGCAACACATAATTTATTATTATAGTAGAATGTGCTGAAAATGAGTATACCTACTGTTATAATTAATCCTAATGAGAAATTGCAAATTGTCTTACGTTTAATTTACTACAACATACCTGGATTCCATCCAAATAGTAAAAAATTGCGGAAAGCGTGTCGGGAAGAAGGATATGATCATTTTCGACTCAAAAATATAACAAAATGGTTAGATGATCAATATGATCACCAAATATATCTTACTTCACAAAAGTGCAAGGCTCAGGCTAGCTTTTCTAAATGTCGAATTCCCAATAAATTACACCAATGCGACATATTAATTCATGTTCGTGATAATCAAGATGGTATAAGCATATTTGTTTGTAGTATACTAGTAATTGACGTGACAACTCGTTTCAAAGCTGGACGTTCATTAACATTAAGAAATAGTTTGAAAATTTGGAATGCAATCAAAGAAATATATGAGGACCCTTCTAACCCTCTCACGTGGCCAAAATTATTGATGACTGATGGTGATGCCTCTTTTCTAGGATCATTCTCACGAGGAATGAAACAATATAATGTTGTTATAAGAGTTGTTAATACTTACAGTTTCGAAAGTTTGACATTCATCAAAGCACTTAAAAAGAATGTAGCGAAGAAAATATATAAAATTCAATACGCTATCGAGGGGCAATTACCAGAAGGAGAGCAATCAAAATTATGGAATAAGGTTCTTCAAAAAATTCTCAATTATACGAATAATAGTAAAACTTGTCTTATTGGTATGACGCCAGCCCATGCCATAACATTGAAAGAAGTTAAATCGAAACCTTCTAGTAAAGCTAAGAGATCTATTGGAAAATATGAACAAAAATTACAGAAAGGCACTACAGTGAGGTATTTATTAAAACCCGGTGAACTAGAAGGTGATCGCAGACATAGGACGACTGATCCGTATTGGTCATTGCGTGTTTATAAAATTGAAAAAATTATTACTGGAAAAAATCCACCGCAACTAGTTTTATACTATCTTGGTGAACTGATCAAATCAACTGCTCATTTGATGGGTCGCAATCCTAAAAGACCTTTCAAGAGGGAGGAACTTCAAGTCATCAAAAATCCAGAAAAAATACAGTATCCACCAGACGAATTTATGCGTAAATATCATCCTACTGGTTCTATTCATTTTATTCATGTTTCCAATAATAAATCAGATCAAGCCCAGGCATATGCAGAGAAGCGTGATGGGTGCGTCTTAACCAAAACTGGTTGAATCAATGACCAGAATGTATATCTCTGGACTTGTAAAAATGGAAAACATCAGTAGGAAGCACCTTATCCATTAATTGCAACAAAGTTTGAGTGGTGCCTAGTTTGCCCACATTTTAAAGGAGAACGTTCTGCAAGATATATTTTTGAGGATTTACTCGGTAAGAAATTTCTACTATGTTCAGATAAATTTTTAGAGAGGTTGCGTTTAGATGGTTATAACAAAAAGCTAAAATTAGCATGAAAATTTAACGGGGTCCAACATTATCATCAGAATGCAATATTCCATAAGTGCGGGAGAATTGATTTAGAGACCCAAATTTCACGTGATCAAAAAAAGTGGGATATATGTAAAAGAGAGGGTATAGATCTCATCGAAATTGGCTTTAATGCCGATTTATACGAATTCATTAAAAATACACTCATTGTAAAAGGTTATTTATGCGATAAAGAATAAACTCATAAGATAAGTATGATACATAATAAATTTCATCCACTTGTCTTGCCTGAACTTTTAACCAAAATTTTCTCATACCTTGTCACATATAAGACATTATACCTGACCTTATTCGTTAACCGGCTATGGTATTTTTGCTCTGCTCCTATATTATGGAAAAGAGTTGAATTTGTTGGCGATCTAAAAAAATCGTGTATACGATGGAGAAAATTTAAAAAAATGATGTGTGAAGGTCGAGTACAAAGTGCCATTTCTCCAGAAATAAAACACCACACACAGTATTTATTTCAACTTCATCTCTCTAGATGTAGGATCTCTAGTAATGAGCTATATAGAATTACTAGATCCTGTTCTAATTTGCGCCATCTAAAATCAAATGGTATTGTAGTTTATCTGATAGAGATATTAGCGAGATTGCGCAAATTTGTCCTCTGGAATCTATCATTGTTTCATGTAATAGTAGAGGTATAAAACGATCCAGTAGATTAACTAATATGGAGGATACAACTTTATGTATAATCGCGAATTCATGCTCAAATCTACAACACCTATCACTTGTATCTTTTAAGCTATCTGATATATCACTGAAAAAGTTACTCGCTCATGTACTAATTTGCGCTGCCTGAAATTGGGATATAATAAGCATATTACCGATGCATCTATAATTGAGATTGCACAAAACTGCATACACTTAGAATATTTTGATTTACGAAGAAGCAATATTACCGATATATCATAAAAACAGATTGCTGAATCCTGCTCAAAACTTCTCATTCTAAGTTTAGTCGGATGCCAAAAAATAACAGATGAAGGTATATGCGCAATTACTTTAACTTGTTCAAATATGCAAAAATATGTGTTGGAGGACTGTGAAGAGATTACTGATATATCAGTTAAAAAAATCGTACAATCCAACCCAAATCTTAAATATCTCAATCTTGTTTATTGTTATCCTATATCTGATGAGTCTATTTGTGAGATAGCACGACTCTGTTCTAAGCTCGAAAGCCTTCAAATTGAATGTTGTGATATTAGTGATGTATCTATGACTGCATTAGCAAATTTACGCAATCTTCAAAAACTTAACATTGAGGATTGTAGAAAAATCAGTACAAATGCAATCATAACCTTGCAGAATAAAAATCCTACTCTTGATATTTTTGATTGGTATTCAGATACAGATAATTCATCAGAATAAAAAAACATAATATATATATTTATAACGAAAAGATGTTATATTGTGTATTTGCCGTGGATGAGGTAAAACCTTCGAAAAAATACCAGGGAGATAAAGATGCACCAGCGTGGCCTTTTCGTATCGTAATGGCAGGAGCTAGCAATTCAGGTAAGACCAATATGAATTTAAA